GTAAATTCTGACACATGTAAAATTCTGGGACAGAAATAAATCATTAAAATTTTTTTGTGACAGTGAAGAAGGGTGATTTTATAAACTTTGATGGCTACATAGGGAACTGCCTGCTGACGGCAGGTTTTGAAGGGATATAGTCAACGAAAGACCAGAGAGGCTCTAAACCCAGACAAATACGAAAGAATATTGATCTACAGGTGGGTGAGGGAGGTGGGCACATTTAGGAATGCTGGGAAGCTCGGCTTTTTATGGGAGCCAAGGTCTTGAGAGGTAACGTGACTGGTCCACGGTCACCCTGTTGAGGTAGAGGCAGGGCTGAGGACACACTCTCTGACTCCTGATTCTGTTTCTCTGCCCTGCACCAGGTGACCCTCTGCTCCTGGCCCCTGCCCATCCTCATTAGGGGTCAGGGCTCTGAACTGCTGGAGTGTTGTTTGCTTAAACTATGCTGAGACCTTTGGACAAAGTGAAAGCAAACAGAACCACTTGTCAGGGCCCTACATTTCTGCCTGGTGGGCAGATCCCGGTGAGAGGGGTGGAGGGGCACTCCAGGGCCTCAGGCTCCCCCAGGACCACTCTGTGATGGGCAGGGACTGCTGAGTTCACTGCAATACAGATGGTTTAAATTACATTGTGCTTGAACTGATGTTTCCATGCTTTGGTACATGAGAGCTTTTCCTTCCAACATTCTAGAGGTTGCCCAGGAACACCCCAATTGCCACTCGTTCCCTCTTTTAAAAAAATCCATACTGCTAATTTCCTTTTTTTTGTTTAACAGAAAGGCTGAAACAACATCCCAAGGTAGGTTGGTTTTTTTTTTTTGTTTTTATTTTTTTGACAAGGCAGCTGTAGTCCCCAGGACCCTCACTCTCCATTTCCTTCTTCCTGTGACACACACTGTGTCCGGAGCTGCCCAGGGGCCCCTGGGACTCAGGGCTGGTGGGAAAGAAAGACCCTCTTTTCCCAACAACCTTTAATAACCCACTGGATTCCCACACAGCCTGAGGGTTTTACTTGTCAAAGATCCCTTCCCCTAGACTTGATTTTAAGGATGGCATTTGCTGTTTTATGCTCGAGCTGCCCAGGAAAATGGTCTGAGGCCCCCCGAGACTGCCAGGGAGTGAGGAACACTGGGATGGAGGGCTGCTCGGCACCCTGGGGTCCCGGATGCCAGCTCCCTCTCTTTGAGGGGGCTGAGGGGAACCTACTGGGAGGACACCAGCTCATGATGTTTCTATCCCAGCCACAGAAAATTCCCCCAAAGACCCCAGAGAGAGACCAGTATGGCAGGTGGGGCTACAGATTTGGAATCAGATTTCATGACTTAAACACCTGCTCCATGAGGAAGTCAGTTACCTTCTCTGACCTCGGTTTCCTCATCTACACCCACCTGTGCAGGCTGTTATGTGCTAGCATGAAAGTTAAGCACTTCATAGAAGGCCCGGGATGCCAGCATTACTCTGAACGGGCAAGATCCTGGTCAACCCATCACCCTGCAGGTGGGCCGAGGGCCAGCTATGCTCTAGGTCCCAGCCTATGGCAGGACCATGTGGCTACACGGCCAGAGCCCACAGCAGGCCACTGGTCTTGCCAAACAACTGATAATTTTGGGCTTTAGTTAAAATGGAAGGTGCAGCGTTCATAAAAGCTGCTACACCACAGGCTGCCTGGAACTCCCCTGCAATCTCTCCCAGGAAGGAGCCCTGAGGGTGTGTGAGCAAGGGCACCTGGGCACCAAAACAGGCCTGGGGGAGGCCCTGTGGACAGAGGGAATCCCCAGTGAATGGGCTGTCACTCCTTTCCCAGGTTGGTCAAAATCACAGGCCACAGAATGGGCCCAGCTGTGGTTGGGAGGCTCAGAAGCCACAGGCTGACACCATCTGCTTTACAGGACACAAGGCCCAGAGCGACTAGGCAAGGGGCTGGGAGCACAGGCAGAGTTAGCGAAACCTAAGGCTCCAGACAGCGCTAGGGGATATCTTAAACGTTTTAAAAACGGAGCACTTAGGAGAAACCAAGATGGCGGCATAGGTAAACACCGGAAATTGCTGCCTCCCACAACTTCAAAAATACAACTAAAAGACAAAACAGACATCATCCAGAACCACAAGAAGGCCGGCTGAGTGGAAATTCTACAACTAGAAGGAAAGAGAAAAGCATACCGA